ATGGTCAATCTCAAGTTTGTCATTCTGACCCCGTTCATAAGTAACTGACTGCTGATTCATCTGCCTGGCTTTCTTTATCACGTTTCTAGTAAAGAAAAGAACACCCACACGATTCGGATATTTGTTGCAGGGAAAATGGCAAAATGGACAGACAGCAGGGGACAGCAGAGGGAGATAAAACATATAAGACCCTTCCTTGGCCCCCATTATTAACCACCCACTGCACTGTTATAAGACAGTGCGAGGCAGAAGCATAGAGGGAGGGTAGGATGAGAGGGAGGATGTGAACGAGCTTTCACTGTTTCAAAAAGGCGCCTGAACATCCAAATATCGCTCTGATACGAAAAGCGAACAATGGAAGAGCAGCAAGCACTGTAACTTATAGTAGTTATAGACGTGGTACGCGATTTAATGGAATGAGATCTGTTAGGATCTACGGGGTGGGTTTTTTTGCATGCATAAAAGTTCATTTGCACCCACCAGTCCATTCACACACACACACACACAAACCCAACCCCGCAGATGCTTTCAAAATTAAGCTCGCACTCATTCGTTGAGTAAAGGCACAAAATATGCAAATTTTCAGTTTTCAAGGATTCTCACTCCAGCGAGCTACTGAAGTTATTGAACTTTGGCAGCCATTTTCTCGGTAATTTTATCCCTGAAACCCGACTACCCCCACCTCCTTCAATCGCGAAAACTCAACTTCTATTCAAGATAGATGGGGGGGGTTCACCTTAAGCTAGGCAAATGAATAAGCTTTCAGATAATACCAATAGCTCCATATGCCCAAAAATTATTGACAAGCGGCTGATTCCACCGCGTCGTGACTCGTGACAATATAATGGCATACCTATGCTCAAAAAGGCTTTAGACCACATGTAATTGTACATGTTTAACAACCCCATCGATACAACTTAGATCATTTTGGAGACGGGCTTCGACACTGCCTTTCAGGGCCAACCTGTGCTGGGGGCTACAACAACGTCCCAGCAGACAGACGGAGATTATAATCGATAAAAATTTCCCCGGCTCGGGGATCGAACTCGCGACTTCTGCGTGCGACGGCGAAGCACCTAACCGCTACACTACGGACACTGGTTTATACCATGTTTTTTGTGTAATTGTTGGGTTGTTGTTGTTTTTTTTGGGGGGGAGGGAGAGGGGTTTGCAGAGTTTTTTTATGGTAGGTGTTTTACGGCGCTCGCAACTGCATTAAGTCATATGAGTGCGCGGAACACATTTTCAATTTGGTAGGAATAGGAATTAATTTTGAATTTGTCCGGGGGAGGGGGGGAGCACAAGCCTACTCTTATTGATTTTGGGCCACCAAGAGATCTTTAACTTGCGCAACTTGCGCATGAGACCTCCGACTTTTTTTTTTCGAAATTAACCGAGAAGGCAAGGTGTTAGACCATACCTACCCCAAGATCAGTGGTGTCAAGACAGAAGTAAGAAGGAGCCACGGAAAAGCAGTAGAAAGACACAGGAGCCCAGATGAAGGGGCAAAATGGGCGGGGGCGGAGGAAAAACGTGGGAACGAAAGCAGACGGCAGATCTTGGTTAGGGAGCAGGAAAAGAGGTTAAAGGAGATCATAATAGTCAGCGCCAATGTTATGTTAACCTATCTACTGATTGTGAAGTAGTGGGGGTCTCTATAAAAGTACACTAATATTTTGCTGCCTCTGGTAAGGCAAAAAAGGGCTCTTTGTCAGTAGGAGAAGTGACTTTCATTATGATGCTACAACTTCGAAAAAAATATTACATGAAAAGATACCAATTTTGTACAAAAAAAGCAAGTGCATGTATGTCCACAGCACTTAAGATGTTAACTACTTGAGCACAACTGCTTTCATAACACAAGTACAGTAATTTACACATTTGATGTCAACAACACACGCCATATTATTATTTGTTGTTATCTCGGGACACTTGGCTACCTTAGAATTAAGTGTACAAAGTTTTATCTGCTCAGTGGATCAGTACCTAGTTTTGAGAAATTTGACGTAAACAATTTTCAGTTCCATGTCAAGATTTTTCTAATACAATTCTTTGAATATCTTGATAACATCTCCGAGTAATTTTACCATTTTGATAGAGCAGATAGAACTGATCCCGTGGTTTTATGCACCCCGCATAATTTAGCAAAATTTGATCTTTTTTTTTGTTTTTTGCATCATATCTGATTATTTTCCTTTATCACTCTCTGCTAAAATTAACAGAATCGCATAATTTCACATTTTTTGGGCTCAGTTTGCATAATTTCAGACATTTTCCCCCCCATAAAACCGCGGGGACAGATAGAACATAAATTTTGGTTTCTGACCTCTGACGTCGTAGTTTTAGTAACTCAAAAACGGCCAAAAATGTCAGACAAAACGTCGTAATTCTAAAGTAGCGATTTAGCAAAAGCCAGGGTTGCTGAAAAGCCAATAATTTCTATTCCTTTCAGACGTGAAGACGCCGAGCCCGACCACCCCAACCACTACAACCACCACCACCACCACCACCACCACCACTACCTCAACAACAGAGTCCACGACTACAAAGAAAGCCACAGAGGAAGATAAGTCCGAAACAGACTCCTCAGAGACGGATGGAAAAGCGTCACAATCAAAAGACACTGGGAACGCATCAACAAGTGTGACTGCTAGAGGTCCATTTGTCCTTCTCTTCAGTTGGCTGGCATCTGTCTATGTTCCGATGAAAATATTTCCATTTTGATGTAAGCCTATACTTTTGTAAAGGTCTAAGTGATGTCCCCATTTGTTTTCCTCTTCAGTTGGCTAGCATCTGTCTTTGTGTCGATGAAAATATTTTCATTGTGATGTAAACTTACTGCTTTGGTAAAGAACTTAATGATGTCCCCATTTTGGAACTTACTATGCATATTCGGGGTCTCCACTCTTTCCAATTTGTGGATAGTAGTGACGTAAAAAAACCAAAAAAAACAAAGGCAGCAAATATACGCATTCCAAAATCAAAAAAGTAAGTGGGATAAAAGGATGCTCAAATAGAGGGTGCATAACATAAGATCAAAAGGTGAGATATTCTAATGAACAATGGGGTGTCTTAAACAGATGGACAAAATATATAGAGGAACTTTTCAAAGACAATAGAGGAGAAAAGCCTGAAAGAAAGAAAGAAAGAAAGAAAGAAAGAAAGAAAGAAAGAAAGAAAGAAAGAAAGAGAGAAAGAAAGAGAGAAAGAAAGAAAGAGAGAAAGAAAAAAATGGACCACCAATACTGAAAGCATAAATAACAGCTGCCATTTAGAAAATGAAACAAGGAAAAGCCACAGGGTCAGATAATATCTCAGTTGAAGTGGCGGTCAAGCTAGAAGAAACAGGCACTGGAATAACAACAAAGCTCTTAAATTATATCTACATCTATGACAGCAGTTAGATTCCAGAAGATGTGATGAAATCAGTTGTTATAGTTCTACCTAAAACACCAGGAGCTACTGAGTGTGAGGTGCATAAAACAATAAGCCGTATGGGTCTTTTTACAGAAAGCTTGCTGTGAGTACTAACAGGAAGAAAGAGATAAAGTCTTTTTTTTTTATAGTAGATGGTTTTACGGCGCTCGCAACTGCATAAGGTCATATGAGCGCCAAGGGGTGGGTGTCAACAGAGAAGTCTTTACAGGGAATCAGACTTAGACTGCTCACCTCTCTAGCTTCAACAGCACAAGGTCTGCTTCGACTCTCAAGGCACCCCGGAAATAGCAGGTCACAAGAGCGTGACAAACATACAAAAGAAGTAGAGGAAATGACAATAGTAAGGATCAGGAAAGAAAAAGCAGCAGTTCCCTGTTGTAGATCAGGCACATGGGTCAGCCCATTTACAATTCTTCTATGCTTGAACGAGAAATGTCCCCCCTTTTAATAATAAATAATAATAAATTACACTTTTATTTGTTCCAGAAGGGCACTTTGTTTTACAATGGCAAACATACATACATAAATACATAATTATAGATACGTACATACATAAATACATACATGCATAAATACATACGTAAATACACACTATTACACAAATACAGAACAGTTTACAAACAATGACACTGTCGGTCGCCACTGTGCAGCGCCCTGAAATTTGAGCTAGGGTTGTCGTGTCTTGCTCAAGGACACACTCCAGTGACCACCCATCTGATCCCCGTGTCACCGACCCTTGCTCGACATTGCTTGAGTCAAAACTCACTACTCACTACTCACTTAGCCACTGGAGCCCCCTTTGGGAATGGCCTAAAGACACTACCGTCAGTGGCACTGCCCCGGAGGTTAGATAAAGTCTAAGAGGACCAGATATATAGGCCTATGTATATAAAACACAATTCGGCTTTGTTCCTGACAAGGGCACCAGAGCAAAGATGCTATATTTACCTAACAATGTTAATGGAAAAATGTACTCAGGCAAGGCCAAATCTGTACTTATGCTTCATAATTCATAAATTATTCAAAGACTTTCGGTAAAGTTAGACATGCTGAGCTATTAAACATTTTGGAAGACATAGATGGAAAAGATCTAAGAATCATTAGGAAATTGTACTGGTACCAAAACACTGCTATGAGAATTAAAGGTGAAAGCAGCAAATACATGTATAAGCAGATTAGAAGAGGAGTGAGGCAAGGGTGTACTCTGTCAATAGACCTCTTACATGTATGCTGAAACAATTCTTAGAAACATAGAAAAATGTCTCAAGGTGCATGGTAAAAATATTAACATCAGATATTCTGATGACAGTTTTAAAAGCAAACTCAGATAACGACCTTCCGTCGCTTCTAGATACTGTTGCAACGGAAAGTAAACATAAAGCGTTATTGTTAAATGTGAAGAAAGCAGAATTCCTGGTGATATCTAAGGGGGAAAAAAGCACCAAATCCTATTTGTAATCTCAATAGCAAAGGCCAAAAGATCAAACCAGTTCAACAGTCAGTTCAACAGTTTAAATATCTAGGATATATACTAACATATGATGTCAAATGTTCCACTGAAATAAAACGAAGAATTGCAATGGATAAGGATAGTTTCAATAACAATTAGCCCAATCCTGGAAAATAGAAACATCTCAATGACTACCAAAATGAAAGTTCTGAAATGCTATGTATGGTCCACCCTTCTACATGGCTGTGAATGCTGGACAATCAATAAAGACAGAGAAAATGAAATAGAAGCAACAGAAGTGTGGTTTCTAAGGAGACTTTACAATATCTTGGAAGGAGAAGAAATCAAATGAGGTAGTCATTGAAGAAGCCCACGTGGGACACTCACTGACAAAAACAATCAGGAAAAGACATAAAAATGGTTTTTTGGGACACCTGAATAAGGTCTTGAACATTTAGCTCTCTTTGGCAAAATTGACGGCAAACGAGGCAGGTAGGCCCAGAACAACCTACTTGGATAGCCTAAACAGATGGGTAATAGGGAAAGATCAGGGTAATATAGTTTTTTTAAGAGCATCCAAGCAAATGAATGAATGGGGAACCATGATCGCCGACGTCTGTCGCTGATAAGGCACTTGATCATGGTGATGGTGATGTGATGTCAAGCACTAAAATGATTTTTGAAGGGAGACCTCAACAAGCCCTTTACCAACATTTTTGGGGTGAACATGGATTATTATACGGTAATAATTTTACTAAACGTTTCCAATTAACATTTTCGTCTCCAAGGACACATCTTTTGCATGTGACTAGTACTAGTAGGCTAAAAGCTGGTGGTTTTTTGTGCGTGTGTGTTTGAGGGGGGGGGGGTGGGAGGGTTATGATGCAAATATGGTCTCACACTCTCAATGAAGGTATTTTCAACGGGGTATTATATGGCTGCTGAAATCCGGGGGTTTTGGGTAAGAGTACCCCGAAAGATTGCAACTAGAGACTTAATTGTAAGTACTTCAGTATGTCAATTTGCAGAAGATCATCCAAAAAAAAGTCGTCCAGTAACTCAAAATTTCTAAAAATCAAACGACTTTTAGGAGACAACCATCTACCCTGTAAGTGGCCCTTGCCAAATTTGACCAGCAAGACACGTTGATTTAATTTCTATTCGAAAACGCAACTTTTGTTAATTAGTACCTGTTCCTATTAGTTAAAGGCAACTGCATGCAACCACTTTCATTGGTTTCTTTCAAAGTTTACGGGTTTATGTGTAACCAACTTCACAACCTCTGCCAAGCGCGAAAACACTGTGTGTTGTTCATAATATTATTATTACTAAATCAAAAGATATATTAATACGGAATGTGGAATAATCATCCAAATTCATGAGTCTGTGTACCTTCCCCATGAAAAGTTGTTGAATATTTCTCTACATGTACTATACATAATAATGTTGCTTGCCGTGTACATACGCTTTTTTGCATGGTGAATGTCCTGTGCCTAATCGTTCTCATGTTATCTCTAGGTTTTTCTGTATTTTCTAGTGATCCTTGCACAAGGTTAAAGTCAAACATAGTGACTAACTCTATTGACATCAGCAAATGGATCGCTATGTCACAAAATGGGTTATCTCGAATTACGTTCAAATTTCTGCTTTTCTTCTCTCTCGATTGTCAGCGGGATCTTTCATCTCTTTTTTTTTTTTTTTTTTTTTTTGGGTAAGTGCTTTACGGCGCTCGCACCTGCATACGATCTTATGAGCGCGCGGGACACATTAACATTAATTTCCGTTGGTAGGAAATTTTGACTTTTGCCAGGGTGGCGGCCGAAGCCTACTACTTTTCAATTTTGGACCACCAAGGGATCTTTAGCTTTAACGTGCGCAACTTGCACACCGGGCTTCCAAAATTTTACGCCCTTATCTGAGAAGGCTCGGTGTTAGATCTTACCTACATAAGATCAGGGATGTGGCTGAAAGACAGCAGTAAGAAAGAGCCAAGGAGTAGCAGTAGAAAGGCTGCAGAAAGAGTCAGGAGCCCAGAGGAGGGGGCGAAGTATGCGAGGGAGTGGGGGCAGAAAGTGGAGACGAAAGCACACAACAGAAAATTGTTAGAGAGCAGGAAAGGATGAGAAAGTGAAAGGAGAAAACTTTTTTTTAAGAAGAAAATTTTCCTTTGCTATCAGGATTCGAACAAGGGAACTATTGAATGAGAGGCGAACACCTTTACATCTAAACCACGAGAGCCCCCCCCCCCCCCTCCCCCCATCTCTATAACTTTTTTAATACTTTGTGTTACAAAACTTGCAGCATCCATTTTTCATATACATATCATGTACAGTTTAAAATGCACCCCCTTTTTTAGATAGGGATGAGGTAAGACATTATAGACAGAAATAAAAGAGGGACATAGTAAAGAAACCTATCAGTTGCATTCTCTTACCATCCACTGTTTTATGTGTCTCGTGATTTCATCAAAGGGGCCGTTCAAATATAATATTACGTTTGGGAGGGGTGGGGGGTGTCTTTGGCTCCTGTAAGAAAAGTGTTAGAAAGGGGGGGGGGGGGGGTCTTGAACTAATGTAATATTACACTTTATTTTGTGAGGCGAAAAAATATTTTTGATATAATGATGAACACTGCCTTTGTTGATGATAACTAATTTCACTTTTTGTTTTCAACATAATGATCAGTAATAACAGACACAGTGGAATCCTGATAAAGTCAGCTTGCTTAATAAAGTCAACTCTTGCTTGCAGTCAACACCTCACTGAGGTCCTGTTTTTTGTTGGTTTTTTTTTTTTACCTTCTTTGTGTAAGTAATTCTAAGTAGATCTAATTGTGTTTCTGATACAGTCAACTGCGTAAAGTCAACAATTTGGGGCTTGATCCCAAGATGAATCCATCTAAGATTAAGAAGAGATATTTCGCCGGAGCTAGTGGTGTACACTGCCGTCGTAAGGGAAAACGACGAATGGTCAAAATTTTTCGATTTTTTAATTTTTATATATTTCATAGAGTATTTAATTCTGCATCTGATGGTGTAGATTTTTTTGTCATATCCTAATCCGTTGTTGCGTAATTGAGAGTTCGTCGTTTTCCCTTACACTGGCGTGCTCCGGGCCAGAGCTCAGTGTAAGGGAGAACGACGAATGGTCGATCGGTCAAGGATCACTGCTCGTTCGGCGTTGTCCCCTGGTCTCTGCCGTAGGGCAAATTCGGCATGGGCGACCAATGACAATTAGTCACTGTTGCGTCAGAACAAACATACTAGTTTTTTACAAACAAATACACCACCACCCCTCCCCCGGAGTACCGTTGA